ATTCCAGTAATTTTGAAACTAAAGCATGCTGGAATCATGTGAGAGATAAATGGCCACATGTGAGTTGGCATAGAAAGATTTGTTCCAAATGGTTACCTGCAAGGATGGGTGATTTTGCGTGGAAATGAATTTACCGAGCTGTCCTTGTTGACTTGTGGTAATAAGAAAAAAACATTCCAATTGTATCTATTTGTCATTACTATCTTCAAATACAAAGTGAGTCATTTGATCACTTAATTTTACATTGAAACGTGGTAAGACATATATGGAGGTTCTTCAAGATAAAATTTGCAAGACCTTCAAGTTATCACTCTCTAATAGATTTATTAGATAATTGGATATGTTCTATAAAAAATCAGAAAGGTATTTGGCAGATTGCAACCTTTTTTTTTTTTTTTAAAAAAAAGAGAGATTTAGAAAAGTAGGTGCAAAGCTCGATTTGAAAATGTTGATATGTCTGTAGGGTTGGTGATGCATCAGTTCAAGATGCATTTGATGGGTGCTTGATTTATAGACCAAAAAATTGGAGTAGAGAGGTTGAGCTATCAAAAATTCACAGTTCAAACCTGCTAGTAATTGCCCTTAAGGTTAGGAGGGGTGTGTGGCTAAAATGGCATCCACCTTCGACGAATAGATTTAAACTTAATACTCATGGATCGATTGTGGCTGTGGAATGTAGTGGGGGTGGGGTTATAAGGGATAGCCAGGGAAGCGTGATTGCATTTATTTATTATTTTTTAATTTTTTATGGTACAGGTATAAATATAAAAGGTGAAATTTTAGGTCATCGGGATGGCCTTCGGCTACGCATAGAGTTATTTCTTACACAAGTTTATATTGAATCGAACTCATTAGAATCAATTAGTGCTATTAAGCATAATGTTCAAATTATTTGGAAATATACATATCAAATACGACAATGTCAACTTATATCAGCTAATCATTGGTTTGATCACGTATGATGTCAATATATGTAGTAGCAGACAGTTTAGCAAATCTTGCTCATGCACATCGCTCCAAAGTTATTTATATACAGTATAAGGAATTACCTATAGATATTAGGAATATTTTTACTAATGATTTATTTGAAATATATAGCTATAGAAAATAACATTATCCATGTAATTTTTGGGATTAGGCCTCATTGTCCCCTTGAATTTTGGGTTAGATTGGAAAATTCCCCTCCTTTCCTTTGTATTTTTTATTTTCATCTCATAAAATTTGCTTGTATAGTGTACCAATAAGATAAGTCTCTCGGATTGGGTGAGGGACAGATTGGGTGAGGGACCCTTTGACGCTTAAATGAGTGGTTGGAAAGTGGTGAAATTTTCTTAAAAAGGCTTTTATATGCTAGTATATGATAACTTGCATGTAGCTTAGCAAAAGTATGAGAAGTGTTTGGAATGGACCTATTTGTTGAGTATGTTTGGAAATTTTATATAGTTCTATTGATGGAGCATGTGGCTTATGTTAGAAGTTGAGAGAGGCGAAGAATATCTTGAGAAGACTCTTATTTTCTAGTAGAATTCTCGTCTAGAGAGCTTGTATCTTGGTACCCTTGATGCTTTTTGGGGTCTTTATATAAGTAGTGATAAAAGCTTTTTACGTAGTCCAAAAGATAGAGGTGTCATTTTCCCTTTAGGGTTAGTAGAGGAGCTATCAAATATTAGTACTTTGATATTATTGTATTTTAATTTTACAACATTGTTAATACAATTGTTATAAGTGATGATTTGATTAATACTATTATTAAAGATTCTTTATTTAATGTTATGTCTCTAAATGATATATGTTCTCTTTTGGATCGAGCCTTTAAGGTAGAAATATTGTTCCCTTCGATAAAAGGATTTGGTGTTTTTTGGAGCCGTAGGCCTATTTAATGGGCCAATCCCTTTTGGGTTGTTGTGGGCTTGGCTTGGTCTTGATAAGCTTTAGTGTTTGGGGTCCTTTGGCCTTTCTTGTTGGGTCGTGTTGGGGAAATGCTCTCTATCATTAGTCTCCCCCTCAAAGTCTTTCCTAGCATTCTTAGCCTAAACTTAAAAACCATTAGCTAAGTATTTCATAGTGTGTTTTTTTTTTTTTTTTAATTAGGAGTGACCATCAATGTTTTTTCCGTCATCTTTATCTTGGTGTTAGTTGGCCGGTGTCTTTTCTTCTTAGATCTTGTTACCTTTAGTCTTAGTAGTTTTGAGTGAGAAAAGTGCAAGCATTTGTATGCTTGATGTCTCTTTTAATGTGTATAGCTACTTCTACTTATATTTTTTTATAAGAATAATGACCACCCTCATTAAGGGCTTATGTGTTGAATTTTTGTCTTTTGTAATGTTGTCATGTTGGTGTAAGGTGATCTCTTGATTTGTAGTGTCTTATCTAACGAAGGTTCATTTTTTTTTTTTTATCTATATATATATAAGCTTGATAGTTGGAGGTTTTCTCTTGTATTTGATTATTTTGAATTTCTTTATGGGAGAATTTTAATACATCATTCGATTTTTCAAGAAAAAACGTCTTCACTTTTTTTCACTTTAATGCCACTCTTTTTCTTAAGGATTCCTACCTAGTGGGGTAATTTGTCATCCAAGATCTACTTTTATGAGGTAACCTTTACTTTCTCTTTTTCTCTTTTCTTTCTTACAAGCAAGAAGATGAGTGATCTAGAGAGAGTTAGGAGTACATCGAGAAATGTTCCCTATTATAGTGTTATAATGGACCCTCGTTCTAATATTGATGGGTTTTTACCTTTTCAAGGGGAGTCTAATTTCATTGTGGGGGAGGGGGCTACTTATGTATCTAGCAAGAGACTAAATGTTTATATATGCTAGCTAAGGGAGAATTTCTCTACCATTCGGGAAATCCTAATGATATGATGAATAGGCTCCTTCTTGGTTTGCCAAAAATAATTTGGAAATTATTGTCCTTACGTGTTTGCTAGAGTACGACTTTATGTTTCCATTGATTGGCTTCGTAACGAGTAGCTTTTAACCATTTTTTCCTTTATATGACCAAATTTATTAAATTGGCGGATCGATTTGACTATTTTGCTAGAGTACGACTTTATGTTTCCATTGATTGGCTTCACCTTTTCTAACTTGTTTAATATTTTTCTCTTTTGAAATCTAATTAGGGTAATTTTATGACAACCCTAAGAGAAGGGAGAGAGTGGCACACTTTTTTAGGGAAAGAGAAAATTATTTTCTCCTTATTTTTCTCAATATCGTGCAACCCTAATTTTTCTCTCTTAGCCGTGTATGTCTCTTTCTCTTTTATATTACACTTCTTACCACACCTTTTGTCGCAGGGCGACGTCGGCGGTGAGGTAAAATGTAGAACGAGATGATTGGAGTCGCCACCTAGTATTACGGTTACTACGAAACCTCGTGACCGGTCCGTTCGTAGTTTCAAGTAAGGAGTTTATTACGTGTAGGGAAGATCAAAAGTCACCCTACCCTGTCTTGCCTAAAACAAGTTGCATCGCATGTAACATTGATTCAATTTCCGATTTTTCATGAAAGATGCCCCCTAGTCGAGTGATTCGAGACTTGGTCGGCTAAAGACCTCGTCCTCACTCTATAATGGATGGCTAAAAATGATGGCAAACCGGATAAAAAAATGCTAAAAGTTGACAACTTAGGTTAAAACGAGTAAAAATTGACAACTCAAGCAAAAATAGACAAAATCGACAACTTAGGCAAAAGCTAGTAAAAATCGGTAACTTAAGCAAAAATCGACAACCTAGGCAAAAATAGGCTAAAATCGACAACTTAGGCAAAAACAAGAAAAAATTCGACAACTTAGGTAAAAACTAGCAAAAATTGGCAACTTAGGCAAAAATAGACAAAAATCGACAACCTAAGAAAAAATAGGAAAAAATCGACAATTTAGGCAAAAATCAAGCAAAAATCGATAACTTAGGCAAAAATAGGCAAAAATCGATAACTTTGGCAAAAATAGGCTAAAGTCGGCAATGAAATCAAAAATCGACGGCTTTAGGCAAAAGTAAGCTAAAATCGACAACAAAAAACCAAAGCCACGACTTTGGCTAAAATCGACGACGAAAAAGAAAGCCACGACTTTAGCCAAAATTGGCAACAAAAAATGAAAGCCACAACTTTGGCCAAAATCGACAACGGAAAACGAAAGCCACGAACTTTGGACAAAACGACAACGAAAAATGAAAGCCACAACTTTGGCTAAAATTGACAACAAAAAAGAAAAGTGACAACTTTGGCCAAAATAGGCCAAAATCGACAACGAAAAACAACAAGTGGCGACTTTGGCTAAAATATGCTAAAATTGGCAAACAAAACAAACACACATAGGCAAAAATTAATGAGAACTCGACAATAGGACCGGAATCGGAGAAGACACACAAATCGATGAAATTAATTACTTTAGCATACTTAACAAAAACGGAGTTACATGGCAACGAGTTCAAACTTGCTTGGTTCGACATGCGTGTTTTTTATAAAATCACCATACGAGACACACCCTTAAAATATACATTCCGAACAAGAAATATTCAAACGCTCAAATTGATGCCTCATTCATCATACCACAAAATCCACAATGTAGGTCAACTCAATTCAAACAAATTTCTCATGAAGACACAAATCAAATTAATTACAATGCATTTATCTAATTAATTACGTAACTCATACCAACACAAATCGAATTTAATACATGTAAAAATGAAAATAGAGCAAAATAAAATAAAATAAAAGTGAAAAAGATTACCGTAACAAAAATGAGCTGGATTGATTTGCTTAGAGGTCTTGAACTCGGATCCGACCTTTTCAACCTCGATGGAGATCGATACTTAGTCAACCGGGAAGGAAAGGTGGACGAGTGGTGGGCTGTCGGTGTAGGCATTCACCGGCACGTGAATCTAGGTTAGAAGTAGACACTAGCGTGCTCGGCGTTCACGAGGATAGGCGTGAGCGAGTTGGGGCGTGTTGGCGGGCGTGCATGGGGCACTGGGCCCGCCGGGCCTATGGACGAGGATGGTATGCATGAGTGCAAGGCAAGCACGTGAGGCGAGTGCACGAGGCAATGTGGGTGCGTGTATACGTGAAGGCTTGATGAGTGTGAGGAAGACAGCGCCGGCCTATGGGTGTGGAAGCACCTGCCGCACATTAGCTCGGTGTGATGCCGAGCACCTGGTGCATCGCTTGGTGCAACACTCGGGCATTCGGCGTTGCCTGCGAATGTGCTACTCGCTGTAACAGCGAGTGCGGTGGTGCTCGGAGAGACCGAGGGAGAGAGACATCAAGCTAGTGCGCAGGAAAGAGAGGCTAAAGGAGGAGGTAGCTGTTGGCGTGGTGGCGGAGGGGCCGTGGTGGTTCGTCGGTGCTGCTCGGGTGTGGAGAGAGAGAAGGCTATTGGCGTAAAGGGTTCTTTGGAGATAGGGTGAACGATGAGTCGATGGCTTTTTGGGAGGAAAATGGTTTTTTTATACTAGGTATTTTTTAGGATTTTTTTGCTAAAGGTCTTTTTGGTCCCTTACTTGACAAACTCCCTTTATTTTGGTTCTTTCTCCTTTCTTTTCAATTGTGCCCCCAATTGCATTATTATTACTTTTTTTTTACTTTTTTTACTTTTTTCTTTACCTCTTTTCCTTTTTTTTTTTGGGACTCAAAATTGGATGTTAGGAGTTGCCCCTTCTTTACAATGCTTACAACACGAAACCATTAAAAAATTGACTTTTCTTTGGCTTTGCATAGTGAGCTTGTAAAGAAAATCATAGAAGGGCCGCAATCAATTGGGAAAGTCCATTCAAAGGCCTTCTCCGAACACGAGTTGATGCAGGTGACCATCCTCGTGGTCAAATAGGTGACTTTCCTTTGGCAATACACCGAGTGTGAGCGATGTACCTAAAACACAAAAATTATTACCGCCAAAATATACACTTTGCTCCCGGTCGCGATACATCTTCATTGAGCTAGGTTCATGATTTCTAGGTTGGTCGCTCTTGTGGGTTTTTATCTACTTAATCGCATCACACGTCTCTTGAACTTCTTTTTTTGTTTTTTCTATCGGTCGACTTTCTACGTGCATGCTTGGATCGTCATTACTAACTCGCTTTATTCCTTGCCATTGCATATTGATAGGGTTTACTCGAAACGGTCGAGACAACCTTTGATTATCATCATCTACTATTCACTATTTTTTTTTTACACAAAGAGTTAATGAAAAAGCCTTTTCATCTACCAAGGGTGAATAAAATTCCTATCATTCCTATTATTTTTCCTCTTTTGTGTTATAATTTTTCATAAATAACATTAAACATGAGATTGCACATGAGACTAATAAAAGGTTCTTGTTCATCTTTCGGGGCCGATCACCTTATGAGAGAGCAAGTCATTTTGATAGATAAAGAAAAAGTTAGGAATGATTTATATAGGGTGGGCAAGAAAGAAAAGAGAAGTAAAAGTAAAACGATTAAACTAGAAAATATTCAACATAATTTTGATTTTTTTTTTCATAACGGAACAAATAAGAATTCGCATGCTCAAGTATGATATTTCTTTACAATGTCAAAATTCACTAGCTTCAAGCAAGACCTCACCATCCATCTTTATCAAGAGGAGGGCTCCCCAGAGAATGCTCTTTTCACCACATACGGGCCCTCATAATTAGGTGCCCACTTACTTCTTTTTACCTCCGGGATCAAGACTACTCTTTTCAAGACTAAATCCCCTTCACCAAAAGTTCTTATACGGATTTTCTTATCATACGCCCGAGCAATTCTTTTCGATGCAACCGCACATGACACATAGCTGCTAACCTTTTCTCACTAATCAAATTCAACTGTTCATATCCGATTCGGGCCTATTCGGACTCATCTAGCTCTGCTTCTTTTAACACCCTTAGAAATGGTATCTCTACTTTCATGGGCATCACCGCCTCCATCCCATATACCAAAGAGTACGGAGTTGCCCCAGTTGACTTCCTCACTCGCCATCCTATAAGCATGGAATGCAAACGGTAACACTTTATGTCGGTCTCGTATATGACTACCATTTTCCGTATGATCTTTTTTATGTTCTTATTTACGGCTTCCACGACCCCATTCATCTTGGGTCTATATGGTGAAGAATTTCGATGCTTGATTTTCCACTCGTTCGTATAATTCCGTAATCATTTTGCCATTGAAAATTGATGCATTATCCATGATCAAGGTCTCTGGAGGCTTATATCGATAAATGATGTCTTTCTCGCACGAATCAACGGACAACTCTCTAGGTAACATGTACGAAGGATGCTGCTTCCACCCTTTTAGTGAAGTAATCAATTGCTACTAGGATGAAGCGATGACCATTACTAGCTTTAGGGTTTATCGGCCCAATCATATTCATTCCCCACATTGAGAACGACCGGGGAGACACCATGTTATGGAGGGGTGCGGGAGGAGCATTTATCCGGTCTACATAGATTTGGCATTTGTGGCACTTTCGCATGTAGTCTATGTAGTCCCTTTCCATGGTAGTTCAAAAATAACCACACCTCCGAATTTGACGAGCCATCATATGTCCATTGGCATGGGTTTCATAAATCCCCTCATGAACCTCTTCAATCACCTTCTTGGCTTCGATGGAGTCTAAACACCGTAGTAAAGTCCCATCAAAACTTCTTTTGTATAACACCTCACCGTCTAAGTAAAAATCTATTGATAACCTCCGAAGTGTCTTCTTATCGGTTTTTGAGACACACGATGGGTATTTTTAATATTTTATGAACTCGTTTGATATCTTCATACCATGGCTTTTCATCGAGCTCACCCTCAATCGGACAACACAAGTGGGTCGGGGCATTCCCGACTTCAATACATATGGGGTGAACCTTTATATCATGTGTTATCTTCGTCATTACGAGCTAGTGTGGCCAAGGCATCGACAAAGTGGTTCTTCTCTCGGCCCGGATGGGTGAACTCTATCTCATCAAAATGATCGGCTAGCTTTGTTAAGTACTTCGATACGATTTCATCTTTTCATCTTTCGTCCGCCATTCCCCTTTGACTCGACAGATTATCGGTAGTGAATCACCATACACATCTACCTTTTGGATCCTCATTTCTAAGGTCGCTTCTAACCCGTGCATGCCCATCTCATATTCTGTTATGTTGTTTGTGCATTTAAACCGTAACTTGACGACCATTGGGAACTCGTTTTCCATCTTGTGAGATGAGGACCGATCCAATACCATTTCCATTCACATTGACTCGCCTCGTCGAAATACATGGTTCATTTGCCGATTCTGGACTCAAATTCTTCATCTATGGCCATAATTGACTCATTAGGAAAGTTAAATTTCGGAGGTTCATAGTCATCGGTTGCACCATCTCGCTAGTTGATTAGCTATGACACTCCTTTTTACTATCTTTCTCGTCATATACACAATGTCATACTCGGATAGCATAACTTACCATCATGCAATATGGCTAGATAAGAATAGCTTTTCAAAGATGTACTTAAATGGATCCATCTTTAAAATCAACCATGTGGTATAATAAAACATGTACTCGTCTAAGCCTTCTTGCACACCATACTAGGCCACAACACATTTTCTCAAGCACACTATATCGGGACTCATAGTCGATGAAATTTTTACTCAAGTAGTAGATAGCTCGCTCTTTCCTTCTTGATTCATCACACCGGCCTAGGATGCAACCCACAACCATCTCTCGTCACGGTTAAGTACGGAATCGGAGGCCTTCCACGAACCGATGGTACCAACAATGATGGATTCCGCAAGTACTTGCTTGATTTTATCAAAGGCTAATCGATAATTTTGGTCACATACCTCGAGATTCTTCTTTTGTAATAACCAAAAGATTGATTCATATGTTATGGATAACCGAGATATGAACCGAGCTATGTAGTTCAAACGACCCAAGAAACTTCTAATCTTCTTCTCAAATGAAGGTGCGAGTATGCTTTGGATCGTCTTAACCTTATCTAGATGAACTTCAATTCCTCTCGTTGCTTACCACAAACCCTAGTAGTTTTCCCGACTTCATACCAAATGTGCACTTTATGGAATTCAACTTCAATTTGTACCTTTTCGGTCTTTCAAAGAGCTTCCTTAATGTTAGAGTATGATCTTCACCTTCTTTCGACTTCGTAATCATATCATCTACATATACTTCGATGTCTTTGTGCATCATGTCATGGAAGAGTGTGACCATATCCCTCCGATAGATGGCTCCCGCATTCTTCGGACCAAAGGGCATTACCTTGTAGCAGAAGGTCCCTTAAAGTGTAATAAAAGTCATATTCTCCTTATCTTCCATGACCATTTTGATCCGGTTGTATCCTAAAAAACCATTCATGAATGAATAAGTTATATTTTTTATCGTGTTGTCTATTAAGACGTCAATATGAGGGAGTGAAAAATCATCCTTCGGATCGGCTCTATTCAAATCACGAAAGTCCATACACACTCGGATTCAACTATCTTTCTTCCCTATGACGATAATGTTTGACACCCACTCGAGGGTACGCAACCACTTCTAAAAATCGACATCCCACTCGCTTTCTTATCTCATCTTTGACTTTTAGCGAATATCTAGCCTTGTTCGTCTCAACTTTTGTTTCATCGGCTTGCTCCATAGGTTCAAAGGCGATCTATGTTCCCCTATGTCGATGTCTAAACTCGACGTATCAGCATACGACCATACAAATACATCCGTATACTCTCCTAGCAAGTGCAATCAAGCTCTTTTTCTCGCACTCTCTATCGGGGTACCTATCTTTAGCTCCCTCTTGTTCTTCTCGATCCCCACATTTATTACCTCTAAATCCTCTTCGTGCGAGTTGAAGGAATCGTTCTAATTGCTCAATTAGCTTAGTGAATTCTCAAATATCATTGTCATCCCATTATTCTTCATCCATTGTAATTAAGGTTTCATCAAAATTAGGCCATATATTTTTAGGATAATCGTTTTGGTTTTTTAAGAAGTGATATATTGATTGTCCTTGAAATAAAATAAAATACGGATAAAAAAGAATCGAAGGAGGCAAAGGCTAAAATTTAAACAAATTTTATGCAATCCAATAATTAATGTTTTTACGAAAAATAACAACAAGTAGTATACGTTTAGTTTACAACAATGTTCAAAGAACAAAAAATAGAAATGACAAGAAAATTACTCGGTCTTGAA